CCTTGTCAATATTAACCACAAATACACTTCTCAGAATATCAAAATTGATCGAGAATATTAAGTTATAAATGAAAGAAATACAGAACTTTTCCTTTACCTCTCACTTTCAATTTCAAACTTTCCATGAAAAATCAAAGTAAACCTTAAAAACTTGAACCATCACAGTTACATGAATATGTAAACAACTTGAATCTCAATCTCATCCAAAATCATTTTCAACAATAGACTCTATCATTCATGATGATTAGAGTTTAAAATTTATCATGAAAACTATTGTTTCATATGAATTCTCATTAGATTGAAAAAGATTAACTTGTTGCTTATTATTATCATATGAAGTCTTATCGTTATTTTAATCATCATCATGGCTGGGAAACTCAAGAAAAGGATAATATCATTGAAGATGAGAAATTAAAAATTGTCACCATGATGAATGTTATGATAGCTTTAAGACATGATGATAAAGATGATGATGAAGGAGATGATAAGTTACTGGGTGGAAGATGGATGTGGATTTTGTTTGAACAAGATGATGATTGTTTCTAATAGGAGGGAGTTGTTACAACATGGGATAAATTGGATTATCAAGAGGTGGAAAGAGTCAAGAACTTACAGGAAAAAGGGAAAAGATAAATAGTATTAAATGATGATGAAGAAAGAGAAAGAGAAGAAAAGATTTAGTTGTTATTTTCATGATGGAAAAAAGAGAAATTTTCTTTCTGAGTAACTTTCATATCATTCTTTTATTACCTGAAGCTATCAAGTAAATTGGTTCAACTATTTAGGTTTCATTACCTGGATATAAACTGAATCCATAGACAGAACAAGAAAATGTTTCAATTTGTTAAAGAAAATACAATAAAAGTGACAGATTAAAATAGAAGTAAAGAAAACTTATCAAACTGACCAATGTCCACAACACATGAGAATAGTTTAGGAAGAAAAGTAAAATCATGGTGACACATTCAACTGGTCATTCAATGACCACCATGAACCAAGTGAATAAAATAAAGATTATGTCGTTGATTAGGAAGTTCTAATCAGGTGATAATCTAAGTGTTAAATAGGGACAAAAAATTAGCTAACCAAATAAAATGTGACACAATCAGTGAAAGTTCAGTTATGAGATAATTTAACTGTTGAAATTTGATGAAAAGTACATCATTTTATTGTAAAATATTATCAAATGAATACTGAGTCAATGAATTGAATGAGGTAAAAACAAAGATGAAATCGAAAATCAATTTAAAAACAATTGAATCAATTTGTAAACAATATGATAACTAAAAAGTAAACATTAAGAATCTATTATAAGTGAAATATATGAATTCCAATTCGTGGAAATAGTAATCATGATGGTGGAATTTTGTTTCATGATAATGTTACCTTGAGCCAAAATTCACTCAGTAAAGTTTTCAGCGTGAAAATGAATACAATTGAGAATCAATCAGAAGAAAATGTTCCTAAAATAGGATAATAATACAAGAAGATGAAAATGTCTTGGATGGAGAAATAATAACAATAATAGTGACGATAATAATTCCAATGGTATTCAGAGGGAGTGAGGGTATTCAAGAGGTGGAAAAATATTTTCCTACTTTGTAACAAATACATAATTTTATTCATCTCTCTCTCTCTCTCACTTTAAAACTATTACAATAATAATAAAGGTAAATTGTATTCAACCATAGGAAATGTTGTATGAACAGTTTATCATATTATTTATCAACCAAGGGAAATGTCTTTCAATGTTTTTTTTTGTCTTTATATTATTTAAAGGTTATCATTCATGATGGGAAATTGTTATTGTATTTCTGATCCACCATGAATTTTACATTTCTCTTCATCAAAATGTAATTCATTTTGATTCGCAGTTTATATTCATGATTAACAGGGTATTTTGTTTTCTCCCTTGTATTACCTGTCACATACACAGGTAGACATTGGTTATTGGTATTGGTGGTTATTCTGATGATGAGATAATAATAAGCTGAATATGATCATAGGAATTGGAAGAATGATAAAAGGTAACATTTTATTTGGAGACAGTTGAAGATATTGAGGTAAATAAGGAGAGAGAGAGAGATAAATAAAGTGAATGAGTGAGTGATAAAGTTTATCTATTTTTCGTTATTCTATTCTTATTTCTATTTCTCTCTCGCTCTTCCTCATGAATGGAAGATGAACAATTCTGACATGATAATAATGGTCAATAATATTTTTAGAGTTTTGTCATATTGTATGTGAACTAGAATTATCATCTTTTTATTTATCCTCATCCGTAGGGAATTTGAGGTTTACAGGATTGAAATAGATGAATTTATATTCATAATATTACAATGGTCTAGTTATAAATTTGAACACCGAGTTTATGTCATTTTTATGAATAGTTTGACTGTCCATTTGTTCAGAAAGTGATGGACACATTGGTCAGCATCTTAATGTGTTGATTAACTAATGGTCGAATCAACTGAATTTTGAATCATATTTTATTTCTGAATTTCTTTCGATGGTTTGATACATGATGAAGGAAAAATTTTACTTAGAAATTTGATTCGATTATTAATCCGGAACGAACAATCAGATTGATTAATTAGAAATTGGTACATTTTGTATCATATAAATGAATGATCAAGGAAAATTATTGATAACGGGAGTTGATTGTGGTACAAGACTTTGAAATAATTGAATTGTTGCTCTATTTTTACACCAAGAGAGTTGAGGTTAACCGAGGAAAGTAAAAAATTCAAGCAAAGTTTATCAAGAAGTTTATTTTTAATACTTTTCTCTCCATGGATTTTGATACTTACGATTTATCATCTCATGTGTAGGATGATGATGATGATAATATGTTATCGTAATGATAAAGTTCAGTGGATGAAAGCTGAGCCGATGTAAGTGAACAGATTTCCAAATAAGAAAACTATCAACTGAAAGATTTTATCAACTCGACTTAAAGTGTAACAATAATCTTGTATAAAAAAAATATTCTCGAGACAGAAATATATGTAATACTCTTCTCAGAGAATCCCAAAGGGGAATGAGGACAAAAAAGTGAGCATTAGAACTTTTTCAAAGTTCGAAACTTCCCAATCTTCTCATCTTCACCTTTCAGATTAATAGTCTTAAAATTATTTTCGACCAGCATTACAGATAAGAGAAGAAAATTAAACAAAATTGAGTCGAGCAAAATATTCCGAATCAACATCTTAAATCGAGAAAGAAAGTGAAGAAAAAAAAATGAAATAGAATTGAATGAACTTACCTGGAAATCTAACAAGTAACTTTCGCTTGAGTGATTCTTGTTTTTTCTTCCTCGAACTTGTTCCCATGTGCTCAGTCCCCTGTATCTACATTTACTATTGATAAACAGTGAAAATTAAAGTTCTAAGGATTGGAAATGGTTATTGAATTGCATGTAATGGTTTGATTATGATTATTATTCAATCCCATGTAATATATATTACGAACACGTCAATGTTAAATTAGAAAAACATTGACTACTGGGAGTTTGAAAATTGCGATTTTTACACATGAAATTATCATTGAAACCTGAATAAGTTAATCAGTTACACTTTTCAAAGTTATCATGTTGTTCAATTTATATATAAATATATTTATCTCACTCATACTTCATGCTGGTTGATAATAAATGTTAGAAAATAAGTAAACCATTGAAAAGTGTTGATAATGAGGATGATGATTATGTTTCTACCATCATCATGTTGGTGTTAATGTTGATGATTTCATGATGATGATGATGATGATAATGATAATGATTCCTTGTCTAGTTGTTTCATTGTTAACCTCTGCTTGTTTATCTCATTGTCATTATTTTTCATCCATAGGTGTGAATGCGATTTCAGATCACGTATTGCTTAATGTTACATCTTCATCTCTCTCTCTCTCTCTCTATCTATATATAAATAACTATTCCATTGGTAAAAAAAAGATGATGTGTCCAGTCTTGACCATCATCACAACACACTTACTCCAAGCTTCAATATATATGTGATAACTTTTCAAACTCTTGGTTATAAGTTTGAAGACAAAAAAAAAGTGTTGATCAAATTCATTGTTGATTCAGTTTCCTGTACCATTGTTGGGTGATTAAGACAATTCAAAGGACGTGAGAGACATTTCTTAATGAAGAGATGACGATGATGGAGATGAAGATGACCAGAAAATTTCGATTGTTACTTTTCTTCATCTTTACTTTTGTAAAAATGATTATTTATATTATATCATCACAGAGGAAGAAAAAGTTTCTCTCTTGTTGTTTATTGTTGATTCTATTTTTTTTTCTTACCTCGATTTCTATGATTTTATTTATCATCAATTCACTTTCAACATGAGGTTCGAGTTTTTTTTTCTCTCCCTCTTGTACTCATTCTGATGAATTTCTTGGTTACTCTGATTGTCATCATTTTTATCCTCATCTTCTCATAATTTTTACTTAAGCACAAACAACAATTTAGGTGTAGTTTCTAACGTTGATCAAACATTAACTATTATTAACAATCACAAGTCACGATTTGAACATTTCAACATACAATCTAAGGATTATTTCGAGTTGGGCTATAGGTTGTTTCTACATGTTCTAACTGTACTTTATTTCATCAGTATCAGTATCATAATCATCATTATCTTTGTTTTTATCTCTCTGATTCACTTCATTTGATCAAGTAAAATTGATTACATGAGTTAATTTATCGAGTGATCGGTAATGAGACCATATTAACAATCAGTATCATGCATTGGCAGAGCCAAATTTTAGTTGTTCCGGTCATGTTTTTCTTTTAATTGTTGGAAAAATCAATTGATCACAGTAATCATCTTCATCTTCATCTGTTAGTTCCGATAGACAATCAAATTGAAACGAAAAATTTTTTTAAATTTTCTCGAAAAAAGATCAACTTGATTAGTTGAATTTCTGTCCAAAAGATGGAGCCACAAACTAGAAAAGCGATAACAGTGACATCTATTGAGTTGAATTTTCTCCAATACTTTTAACCTTCATTGGGGTTGATTATTGTTGGATTATTGTTGTTGTGGTTTTTTTTTTGATTTAATTAATTAATTACAATTAAAAAGATAATCATGTTAAATTTAGCATCTAGAATTTTAGTCTCTCCACTTCCTGTGGCCTCAGGAAGGTAAGTTTGATTGTTTTCTTTTCTATTCTCTTTATTGGTTAACTTGTAATCTGATGATTTTTTTTTCTCATTTTGATTTTCTCAATGTTAATAAATAGCCAAGTCAGAGGAATGGCAACTCTTAAAGACAGTAAGTTTTAGATTTTATTTCTCTACTCCTTGAACAATTATTGATTCTAATTGATTTCTATTTCCATCCATTTCTAGTCCGTGTCCGATTGAAGTCTGTTAAAAACATTCAAAAAATTACCCAGAGTATGAAAATGGTGTCAGCTGCTAAATATGCAAGAGCTGAAAGGGATTTAAAGGTTGCCCGAGGTTATGGTGATGGAGCAAAAGGTAATTATATTAAGTCTTACAGTTAATTGCTTGGTAATCAATGTTGTGATTTAGATGATGGGCCTTGTTTTGTTTCCATTCGTATTGATATTTTATTACCACCTCACCTTAAATATGACCGGTATCAGTTTTCATTTTCTATCTACTGTTGTGAATTTCAATGCTAATATTTTTTGTTTTCCTTTTTTCTCCTATTTAGCTTTTTACACTGCCAGTGAATTAGAACCAAAAGAGGAAAAACCTTCATCACCTGGAACTTTAATCATTGCTTTAACCTCTGATCGTGGTCTTTGTGGTGCTGTTCACTCTGGTGTCGCTAAAAAGGTCCGAGCAATTATGAATGAAGATCCAAACGCTGCAAACATCAAACTGGTTACAATTGGAGATAAGGCAAAGGCAATGTTATCAAAGTAATTATATTAATGTGACAGAAAATAATCTCTCAGATCTTAATCGTTATTGTGATCTTTTTTCTTAATTTCTCAGACAATACAAGGACAATATTATCCTTATGTTCAATGATTTTGGTAAACGACCACCAACCTTTGGTGATGCTATTGAAGTTGCAAATGCTATAATCAAGAGTGGAGCTGAATTTGAAAGAGGTATCCTTATATACAATCGCTTTAAGTAAGTCTAATTCAATGAGTAATTAAAATTAACCAATTGGCAACACACTAATTGAATAAATCTTTATTCTCATAGGTCTGTAGTCTCTTATGCCATCTCGGAATTGCCCGTTTTCTCAATGGCTGCCCTATCAAAAAGCCCCAAAATTGAGCTTTACGATAGTTTGGATGATGAAGTTCTCCGATCTTATCATGAATATTCCGTGGCTAGTTTGGTCTTTTATGCCATGAAGGAAAACGCTTGTTCCGAGCAAAGTTCAAGAATGACGGCCATGGACAACGCTAGTAAGAATGCCGGTAAGTTTTCGCGTTCAAATACTCTCTCTCAAATTCAGTTTTGAACATAAACACTTATAAGAGATAATTTCTAATTCTTTTTTTCTATTTTCTCTTTTAATTTTCTTAGGTGAAATGATCCAGAAACTTACTTTGTCATTCAACAGAACAAGACAGGCCGTTATTACCCGAGAATTGATTGAGATTATTTCCGGTGCTGCTGCTCTTTAGAAACTTTAATCAAATATCTGTACAAATACACACGAAGAACGATTAACCCATAATTAATAAGAGAATAAATTTCTCTCGGATAGAGTTGATAAAGGAATTAAATCCATCAAAAACAATTGAAAAGAAAAAAACGAAAAAACTTTTTTTCTCTCATGTAAAAGATTCTGTAAACAGCAACTGTATCTCCCATTTTTAGGCTTAGTCCCGGTCAGAAAATTAATCCAATTTAAAGATATTGTTTTTGTTTTACCGAATCTAAATTAATTATTAATATTTAATTGGTGTTAAAATCGGTACATTGATTTATCTTGATTGAGAGTGAAAACTTTTAAATGAAACTTTGAAATGTTTACAAATACATACGACGATTCGATGGATTTTGATTGTGAAAACAAGAAAAAAACATTGTAACAAACAATAGAATTATTTATATAATTAAGTTAATCAGATGATCAATCGGAAGGGAGAAAAACAATCCTCAATGATCATGAGTACGAAAAAGCCGATTGGAACGGGTGTCTCCTTTGGAAACTCTGAGTTCGATCTGTGGTAACTGTCGGTGGAATAAGTGTCAACGTATCGACATCATCTTCATCATCATCAGAACTATTTCTCGGTGAATCAACCATTTTACGTCGATATTGTGGTGAATAAATTAAATCTTTGGTCTGTTTGATCAACAATTTAATGTAGATTAACATTAAGATCAAGAGTAGAGGTTCAAATATGAGGGTAACCCATTTTAACTGTTTAACCTCCTCATCGTTTGAACTATTGGAGCCGACAAGTTCAAAGATAAAACCAACAATGGTCAATATGATGAACGATTTACACCTTGAAACATTTTCCTCCAAGGTTGACCATAAACCGTAGCCCGTTGTGACCGCGATATAAAGTCCGGTGATGATGAAAAATTGACTATGATGTCGATACTTAATGTGACCTTTGGTCTCCTTTATTTTAACCTTATAATGGGTGAAAACGTTTATCGTCCACCAGATGAGACCTAAAAGGTAAGCGGTGAGTAGAGCGGCTAAAATGATCTTTAAATGTCCAAACAATCGGGTCGCTTTCGGGTTACAAGGAAGTAAAATTGACCTTTTCTTTTTACCCATCGTCAAGGGAACATCAGCCAAGCTGATTACACTTATTGATACGTCGGAAGTTATTTTGACGGCGATAATTGTGAATAAGATGATGACCACTACGAGATTAGGTTATGATCTCAAACAATTAACCAAAACTAAATTAACTCGTTCGCTAATTATCAATGAGAGTCAGTTGATTGTTGATAACAAAAACAAGGAAACAATTTATCATGTTCTCAAAATGTAAACACAAGGAAAAGTAAAAAAATTTTCTCTTTCTGGTTTAACCAGTTTTCTAACCCGAAAACCAGTTTTACTTTTTTCTGGTTAACGGTAATTTGTTTTTTTCTACTTCTATCAATCAATATATTGGCTCAATTTTTGATAAATAATCGCCGATTGAACAATTAGTTTTAATTTAGTTTTATTTTCTCATTTGGTTGGAAAAAAGATAATCAGAAAATGATGAAAGTAGTTAATGATTTTGATTTGATTTCATTTCGTTTGAAAGTTTTTCAAGTTTAAATTGTTTGATAAAATTTGACATTTGGATTAACACAAATTGTTATTGGAACATTATTATTATCATTGATTAGATTGATAATCCAATTTTGGGAATTTGACTTTGAATAAACATTAGGAATTGATTGAATTGATTAGTGAGAATTGTTTCTGTCCAATTACGTTCATCACAAAATTTGTTGAAACCTGAGAAATTTAAACAATCACAATTAGATTTGACTCTTTTTCATATCACAATTATCAATAGATTGTTATAATTACCATAATTGCCATAGAGTTTCATGTTCTTAAATTGCTTATTTGGTCCTTCTAATTTAGTAAACCGAGGAGTTACATTAGATTTTGAAAGAACTGAACTAATTAATTAATCGCTGAACTTACCACAAATTAATTTAAGGTAAAATTTGATCATCTGTAAGAGCGGTGGAAGCGTTGGATTGACCACCGACGCTGTTATTTGCATCGGGTTAATGTCAATAGCGGGACCTTTGTTGTTGTTGGTGTTGTCCAAGTTATCAGAGTTATCGGAGTTATCAGAATCATCAGAGTCGGATGAAAGGTCATCTTGGGATAACTTAACTGAAAGACCGGGTAAAATTTCTGGTCCTTTAGAAAATGACAAGATCGATCCTAGATCCTGTTCCTTTTCCCGTTCTAGTTCCAATTGCCGTTCTCTTTCTAGTAGTTCAAGTTGTTTCGCTTTTGCTTGTTCTCTCTCTTTCTCTCGTTCCAATTCTCTCTCACGTTCTCGTTCACGTTCACGTTCTCGCTCTCGTTCTCGTTCACGTTCTCGCTCCCGATCTCGACCACGACCAAAACCTCGTTCTCGTTCTCGTTCTCTTTCATATTCTCTTTCTCGTTCACGTTCACGTTCACGTTCCAACTCACGCTCTGCCTCACGTTCCCGTTCACGCTCAGCAAGTTCAGCGACTGTTTCGATCTCCGTAGGAAACTTGAATTCACCCTGAGACTGATCGGGTCTCAGGCCATGATCTTTCAGAACAAGTTTAATTTGTCCATTTGAATTTTTAACTGAGGAAAGAAAATTTCAAACAACAATACAAAGAAAAAATCTCCAACAATTAATCTAATCAACAACAATTTAATATTTAACTTACCAAATTGTAATCGATCATCTAATTTAACGTTAACCTTTGGCCGAACTGGACCATTACCGTTAACAATTATAAAGCACGTTGACACAAGTATTAAGATTGAGAATTGCATCCTTATTGATTGTGTTTAATCAACTAATTAGCTGATGAACCATAGCACCAATTAAACCAGGAACTAAATTTAATTGCTCGCGATTGTTGTTAACCAATAGAAATGATTTACATCCCAATGGCTTAAATTACAAAATTTAAATTACAATTACAAACTCGTATGATCATCAATCAATGATCAAACAATTTGAATAACAATCTAATTATTAAATCCCTTAATTTAGAGATTGGAAATAGATTTAAAATGTCAATCGTTACAATTAGATTAATCAATTTACAATAAGTATAATTTAATAAATAAATAAAAGCTTAATTTTTATTGCACTAATTTAAAGCTCAAAGCAATTTGTTCATTTTTTTTTGTTTGTTCATTTATCATTATTGATTGTTCATGATTGATTGTTTATACTTTTCTTGAATAAAAATATTTGGTGTATAAATGATTTGGGTGGCTACAATTAACCAAATTATACCATTGATTTTGATTGTTACCTAATTAAAATCAAAATTGATTGAAGTTAACAAGGTTTTAAAAATCGCAATAAATATATAAAAAAGTTTCTTTTTTTTATAATTCGTTAATTTAGTTAATCATGTTTGCTGATTGTCTCCATTTTTCTATCTTTCTCTGTCCAGAATCATATGGTCATCTTATGAAGTTAATTAGCTTGTCATGATGTTAAGGAAAATTCTGTTTAATTATCATGATAATTAACGAAATTACGTAAATAGGGAGAAATAGAATTCAGATTGATCCATGTTCGATTGAAGCTTTTTCGCCATTTCTTGAATTTTCAATCTTCGTTTCACATGCGGCGGTTGGAAACTAAATGCAAAAAGAGAGAAAATTAAAGTTAATTGTTGACAATTTAATCATCTGGAAGAAGAAAACAATTACCTTTCAGCATCTAAACGTCTACGTCGACATAAATTAAGGCAAGTTAATCGTACGAAAATACCAAGAACACGTTGACTAACAACCATCCCGTCCAAAAGTGGAAGAGCAATTGGTGGCCTATTGGTTAAACAATTAGTTGAAACAATTAGTTGTTCATTAATAGGGACAATTAATTCTTACCTAGTCAATGAAGTGATTATTTTCGTTGTGAATAGGCCGTTTTTAAGAGGGTGAACAAGGATCGCAATGTAATCCTTTTTGGACAACGGATTAGTTTCAACTCCAGTGTTGGTTACGGTAAGTAATGTTGCTAAAAAAGAGAAGATGATTAAATTAAATACTTATGATTAAAATAACGGAGAAAGATTTATGCTTACAAATAGGAATTGTGGCCTCATCGTCGATACTTTCAAGCCAAATGATTAAAATTTTTGTATCACAACCAATGTTTCCAATAAAGGAGAGATGTTTATTTTTCTTTCTCCAACTATTTCGAGTTGATTCAGCTTCCGATAAATTACGAGAAAAATTTGAGGTATTGGTACCATCGTCGCTTAAACTTGACAATGACCTCAGGTCAACTGTTTCCGATCCTTCGGTACTTTTGGCTCTTACTTTAACCTCAGAGTCAATTGATATGGAATCTTCATCTGGAAGTCTAACTGAAGGCACGATAAACGCAATCTCATGGCAAACATCAGCCCAATAAAGAACCATCTTGTTACCATCATAAGCACTTCCACCATGATCATCATAAGATTCACGATCATCTGAAATACTATCATCATCTCTTGATTTCCAGGAAGTGTAAACATTACCCGTCCAACCGTGATGTTGATTTACCTTAATTGAACAACCCAAACCATTGAGAAAATCAATAAAAGATGGACTTACATAGTGTTTTGAAGAGACACTATTAAGTATTTCTTGAGGGTGAACTCGACCTTTACGAACATAGAAAACGAAAGCAGTATCTGAGGTTCGAGTTGAGATCATGTCCAATGTTTTGATATTATTGTAAAGTTCAACGTTCTTTTTATCCAAACTGATCAATGATGGTACTCTAGATGAAAAATCAGCTGACTTTTGACCTGAACCAAGGGAAATGAATCCTAAATGTGATAAAATTAATCGACTACATTCAAGTTCATCTTTAGATTTGGGCTGATTGAGATCGGAAGAAAATATCAATGGAAGACAACGTTTTTCCAATTCTTTCTCACTTAGAACTTGTTTCTCGATAATTTTACTCATCTTTTCATGGTCACTTTTAAGTGTTTGATTGGACTTTATAAGATTGGTTAAACTTGGGATCACCATGTCCAGTTTGGTTAGAGGGATTTTCTCAAGTGATTCAGGAATAAATCTTGGAAGAACCGTTCGACGGGTGGATGGAACAGAGTGAGGCGGTGGACGTGGGATGGACTCGAAAGCAGACCTATCGGTACTACTGTGTAAAGATAATACTTGAAATTTCATTGACCAGCAATATTTTCCAAATGGAGATCGTATAATACAAATACTACGTTGAGCTGGTGGATGATTAACAAAGGCCAATAAAATTGAATTATCGGCGATAAAATATTTAAAATACTTGGACCAACTATCGACGGCATTGGTATCAACATCGATACCCAATCCTCGCAAGATTGATGCTTCGTCAAGCAAACAACAACCGGTAACAGTTTCAGGTGGACAAGGGGCTGGTGGACAGTTACCAAAATGATTCATTAAACAGGTCAACAAAGATTCAGCCGCTTCTCTGACCCTCATTGAGGCGGGTTTCAATTCTTTATTAACCTTAAGTATTAGACCGCTAGAGGTTCGAGATTTAGATCCAGAGATTCCAAGTTCAACAACTTCCATCAAAGTATCAATACATTCACGATCATTTAATAGGCATGAATGTTCATGAAACCAAACGTTTAAACATCGATAAGCTGCCACAATGGTTGAATGCATGTCTTTTGAATGGTGAGGCGGAGGTCGGGAACATTGATAGACGATAAAGTCACAAATCCATTTAGTTGATAATTTACATTCGTCAATCATTGAAGGAAGACCGGATTCATTTCCATCAGCATCGGTAAATTTAATTCGAGCCAAAACCACGAGAGTTTCCAATGCTGCCAACGATACTTGAGTATCATTTTTCCAATTGTTGGATAACAATTGACAAACCAAATTCAATGATCGTGAATAAATTTCCCGAGCTGTGTCTGTAAAGATAACCAATTGAAAAGTATATAAATTAATTGTTGTCAATAATGTAAATTATTAGGAAAATGATTTAGATGCAGAGGAGTTTATATTGTATGACAATTGATGGAAAAGGTTAAATCATTCAATTAGAGCTATTAAATGTTCATGCAATTTGATTACAATCTATTCTAATGATTATTATTAAACAATTAACGGCATGAGCATTGATTTAAATTGTACATGTACCAGGAATTCCGCCTTTTCCTAAAAAAGCATCAGATAGATTATGAAATCTACCTCGTCGATATGAATTATTGATAAATTGTTGCTGTTGATGTGAAGATTGGATTATCTTTTCTGTTGTAGAGAAAATATCCAAATTTTTAATTGGTGATTTATCTAAAAGAATCAGATTCAAATTAATCAAAGAAAACGATCCAACAATTACAGTTCAATTAGAATGGTGTTTTCGTGAATGAAACCGTTGAATTGGTAAAAGCAAAAGGGGTTTAGATAAAAAAAAACTAACCGGACATACTTGAACCTTTGTTTATTTCCTTGTCTTTGATGAATGAATCTTGTACACAAACTAATAAGCCTCCTGAAGAAATAGAAACAAAGTTTTCTTGGTTAGTTGTTAATTTAGAGACAATCAAGTGACAATAATGTTAATTGGTGATAGTCACCTAATAGCATTTGAACGTTAAGTGAATCATGTTCAGTTTTGAGAGCGTTGATCATGAAATTGATAAATCGAGGCCTTAAAGAGCGGAATGTGATCGGCGATGAGTCTGTCAGGGAATCTGAGGAAAGACGGAGTTAGAAAAAGGTCACAAAATTAGTACCAATTGATTGAATGGACAATTAAAATACCTTTGATAGGTAGCTCGTTAAAATGAAGAGGATATGAGATCATGGATAACAATAGTTTGATACATGCTCGTCGTAGGTCAGTTATTGATGTCGAGGTCCTGAAATGTTAACAAATGAAATTAGATAAATAAACTGTTAATTAAAGAGTAATTTATAAGATAAATTATTCAGTAAAATTTACCTGAACTCAGAATCTGATTCAGAAATAACAGTTTCCATAGCACGAAGGAAATCGGGTATAAGTATATTGATACCATTAAGATTGATTCGAAAAAGTTTCGTTCCATTCAATAAAATACTTGATAAAACTTGACCTCTAGTATTCTGGGAATATGAAATACAATGAAGAAATGGTCAGAGCAATTAGATTAGAAAAGAAAAATAATTATAATGGTTAAGATTATGGACAAACCTCTTTAACCGATAATCCATATTGTAATGCTAAATAAAATCGAGCCAAATAAACGGGAGAAATGTCTTCATCCGTTTTCTTTGATGAAAATAGACGACAAAGAGCACCAATGGCCTCCGATTGTCCGGCTTCAAAATTTTCTGGAGAAAGTGATGAAGATATTTCAAGGCTTATTCTATCTGAACCAGCACCTATTGAACTTTTCCGTGAGGTTAAAGTATCACCGGTGGTTGTCGATGTTGACCCATCTGAGTTATCACCTCCTTCACTTGTTGTCTCATTTGGTACATAATATTTGGTTCCAATCATACATGCATTGAATAACCAATTACCAAGAACATTAAGAATCGAGTTTACTTTAGGCTTTGATTGATTAAATGTTAAATTACGAAGGTAACGTGTAGTTGAAGATACTGTCGGTGGGCTTGGTGTTGGTACGCTAGTTGTAGTTTGATAAGATGAGCTAACTAACATTTGTTGAGCTATTTGTTGCTGTTGTTGAGCTTGTTGTTGTTGTTGTTGTTGTTGTTGCTGTTGCTGCTGTTGAATTTGTTGTTGCTGTTGTAATTGTTGCTGAAGTTGCTGTTGTTGTAGTTGTTGTTGTTGCTGTTGCTGTTGTTGTTGAGATGGTTTGGAAACATGTGATAAACCCGAGAGTAGGCCTCCTTTTTTGCTGCTTTTCGTTGTTGATGAGCCCGATTTGACACTGGACTGTTTCCGGGGTGGGGGAACAATTCCTGAACTAGAAGCTGAACTGGATACTGTTCCTCCGGATTTGGTTGATTCGGTGTCGTTAAGGTCATTCATGTCAAAGCAAACAGGTAATCCAAGGAAAGAATCAACCAACATGGCCAATCCTTTCATTGCTCGATAAAATATTTGAGGGAGATCATTTAAACATGGATGTTGACGAGGATCTACAACACTGTCAGCAACATAGTAATGAAATTTACATGTTTTCGATATGATTGCCGATGAATGAAGATCAACTGGATTACCGATTGTATTGAGAAATTTATACCAAGCCTCAGAGACAATTTCTTTGGGCATTTTGTTAATTGATTGGATACAATAGGAAGCGATTAATGGTGATCCAGGTTCATTACATGAATTAGGTAAAAGTGAAGGTGAAGTAGCTGAATCGTAAGTTAATTGTAATAATCTTTGGGTAAAAATGAAACAAACTCGAGACCATTGGTCAATTAGGGCAGGTTGATGTCTCCAAGTGCAGCAAAGATGATGGAATGTCTTCCAAAAAGATGGATTAGGAAAAAATTTGTAACAAGCGATAATCCAAATCTCGAATAGAACGCTAATTACTCGTTCACATAATTTAGTTCGACCAATATCAATTTTCTCTGTTGGTGGAGCTAAAAGAGAAACAGAGAAACAATAAATCATTAGTTACTAATCTAATTTATTGATGTAATCACATAGTTAATGTTTCCTTTCTGATAGAAAACAAAAGGGAAACATGTAGAGAGAGAGAGAGAGAGAGAGAGAGAGAGAGAGAGAGAGAGAGATTAATACTCACCTAGAAGAGAATTATTTATTGATAGAAGGAAAAGAAGAAGCAAATCCCATGTTTCTCTGTCCATGATATTATTCTCATCTTGAGTAATACAACCAATGGTTCGTAAGACACGATGACAGAGAAGAGCTTGTCGAGAGATGATATCATTAGAATTTAGATCAGCTGAAGCACTTGAATGACCTGAATTTGTACCATTGGTGTTTGTCCTTGGTATGAAAACATTATATAAATGTTGAATTATCCGTCGATAATAATGATTTGGATCGTTCATTATTGGTGAAGGGATAATTTTAATTGCCGATTCATGGGGAATCAGGGCATACATCCATTCACAATAGATATGAACACAATCTCGAATAGCTTCATGTTGCTCTGTTGTATTGATCGGCAGTGAAAGACCAAAACAAATTACTTCCATCACCCATTGGACATCACGATCCGTTTTAAGATAATTAATTGTTTCAATATCGCTTGATGGTGGATCAGTTATTGATAGTTGACTGGCCAATCCACTGGAACTACTACTGCCACCGACACCGACACCGATACCACTACCAGCACTCAAAGAACTAGATATTCCACCACCACCAAGATCACGATTACTTGAACTTCCTTTAATCACATTACCAGCCAAGGGTTTGACCACAGCGTTAACGATATTTTGACCATTAATATAAGGTAATTTGTGTAATACACTCCATCTATTTTCCTCGAAAATTGAATTAACGTTAATAACTGGCCATTCATTGTACATTTTGTCTTGATTGTTGATGTTGCTGCAAATAAATAAAAGAAACAATTAGTTAATACAAACTAAAAACATGACTGCAAACATGATTATCTTAATTAGTCGTTGATCTAGTTTGAGAGGTTTAATCAAAAACCTGAATTTGTATTGTTACATTGAGAGATGTAATCAATTAATTAATCAATGACTTGTTAGTTTTTGGTTTAAAAAAAAGTCGCACAATCATGTTAACTGTTAATAGACAAAGAGAGCAATTAAAATTAATTACCTTTCCATTAAACATTATCTAAAGTTAATAAATTGTTTCTTATCAATGTAAACAAAATTATTCCGATCGTTAGAGTTAATCAAATGATAGACCATCTCTCCGATACAATCAGTTTAATTGTTCAATTTGATTTCCCTGTAGAAAGATAATGAAATGAGAAACAATTAGATTATTTTTAAAAAATATCAAGTTGATTAATGAAAAATCGGATAATCTAAAATCAAGGTAATTGTGATTCTTTTTTTTTCATTGAGAAAAAAAAACTTGGTAACAATTAACGATTAGATTACAAGGAAGAATCATATCAAAAGATGATCAATATTTTCTCCAATGGATGAAGTGATTAAATCATTTTAAGAATTGATTCCATCGTTTAATTAAGTTGATTTTCCAATTGTGATTGTAGAAAATTGTAATAACTCACCAAAGAAAATCCAATAAGATGAAACCTGAAGAAAATGAAAAAGATAAACAAACGAAAAGAAAACATATGATTAGTAAGGAAAGAGATGAAATTGATTGGAAATATTGGTAAAGTAAACAAACAACTTTGAGTTGTAATCAATTGGTGACAATTAAATTGAATGATGGTCTTGTAACAACAATTAGATGGCAGAAAAGAAATGTTAATTATCTAGCTAATGGTTAATTACTCTTTGTTGTAAGTCTAATTCATTTTTTTTGTTGTTCTTCTTCTGACAACGTGTCAGGTTTGAAAGAAGAAAAATAAAATTCTATTATCATTAACTACCTGGTATTGAATTTAGATTCACTTGTAACTCTTTCTCATGTTTAGACTCTTCCAAAGTGTTTCAACATAAACAGTGAGAGAGTGAGAAGGAGAGAGAGAGAGGGAGAGATTAGTGAGAATTTAAAACATGGAACCAGGACAAAATCTATTATACACAACAGGTAAAACTCAACTTTGGGTAGAAGGTTAAATATGTACAGGTAATTGTTAGTAGAAATGGAGCAAGTAGTATATACAAATTAAACTCCAAAATCGTAATCAAGGTGGGAAAGTAAAGGTAATTGATGAGCACTGGTTTCGTTTGGGTTGAAAGATCACAAGAAAATCTTTGTTATATTAACATGGAGGAAAATCACTTTCAAAATTTACATGTGAATACCAAGGATGAATATCAAAGAGAGAGAGAGAGACAGAGAGACAGATAGTTAACCAGCTAATTAAAACCAAGAGAAGAGAATAAAAAATTAGGTTAAAATCAAATTAATAAGAGAAAAACTTACCAATATTTAGCAATAGAAATAAAAATTAAGTTACTTTTAAAGAAAAATGTTGAATCAAGAGGTTTGCATGATAATAACGTTTCCAATTCTCTTTTTGTAACCTGACCAACTAAAGGTTAACGGTGGACGATTATAAGTGTTCAAACTTTTTCGATCACTTGTTATTTAGTAAAAAAATCAATTAAATAGTCAATTATATTAATGAGAGAAAAGAACAATTTGATTAACAATTTGGTAACAAAAGTTAAACAATAACAAGAGAACCAAAAACAAAACAAAAAAGAAACACCTTCTTAGTACCAAATGGAGAATGTAGATGGCGACACAATAGAATTTTTCTCAACTCGAAAATCTCTGGACGAAAGGTTAGTTTGGTTATGGCATTTGGGTCATAATGTCACGGGCTCGTTCCCCGAGAATTGGGGTATCAATATTAACATGATTGAATCACGTACCATGGAAAACTAAATTACTTCCATGAACAAATTGGATGACAAAAAATAATTTCGAATGTGGGTTGTAAGCAAGAATAAAGTCGAAACAAAAAACTTTCGATCTCGTTTTTTGCCACATTATCGAGAATTGAATTTGAGTCTGACAATCAAATGACCTTTAAACCAACCTCATCCTAACCCAATGGCCGAAATAACTTTGATCTCGAAATATGACGATTGAGTATCGTCCAAACTCATAACTCGAGCGAATCAGGTAACTTATCGTATTAACTAACCTAAAAGCGGAAAACTTTCCACCAGTAGTGATGAAAATTTGTTAATTTAAATGTCTCTTTGTCTCTTAATTGTATTTGAATACGATTCTTACTTTTTGTTTGATGGTCAATTGGTCAATTCTTTGAAAATTCATCTCCTTCTCGCTTAATAATAACTCTGAACACAGGATGATCAAACTGAAAACTGAACTTAAAGTACAGTAGTAAAGTAAAGTTGATTAATTACCTTTATCTATAGTTAATTGTACTGACGTTAATTCATTTATTTACAATTGAATCTTTATAAACAATTTCAAAGTTTGATTTATGTTTTACTTGGTAAATTAACCAAGAGATGACGCTACATGTACTGATCTTTTTCTGAAAAACCAACCAAATTAAAATAATAATTGATTTGATTTTAATGAAAGGTTACAATTAACTCTGATTAATTGATCAGACTTCACGTACTGACATTGGTATCGAGTAAACAAATCAATTAATTGTTAATTTAAATGAAATTAACTTTTTGTTTTCTGCTTTTTTGATGCTTTGAAAACTTTCACATTTCTCGTTTACAATTAATGATTTCAATTATTATTACACTTAAATTGTGAAAATGATTAAATCACGATAAATACTAATTAGTTAACTCAATAGTTTTAGTTAAATTAAGATTATCAATCCAGTTAAAGTTAATTTGATAAAATTAACTATAAGACAATTAGTCTGATTTTCAATGAAACAAAATAAAATCAAGAGCAAACAATTAAGTCAATCAGATCAAGATTAATTAAAGGGAATTTATTTTCCAAACAATTAATAAATTGCAAAATAATTAAAAGTTAAATATGATTAATTTCTAGTGTTACAATTAATTGATTGTTATCAATTTAAAAAGTTGAAATTATATGTCATGAATTTGATTTGGAAGCAAAATTTTCACAATTAGATTTATGATCACAAACAATTAGACCGATGATTAAGTTACTAGCAAATCTATTAACAATTAAAAATATGACCAAGGAAAAGTTAATTATTATAAATGATGATAATTATTAATATCTAAATCATTATGCAGATAAAAATAATTAAGTGAAATTAAATCGTGATTAAAAAACAAACACACCTAAAAATCACACATTATCACATCTAATTAAAGTTGATCAACTGATTAAAACTAATTATGATTAAGAGAGAGAGAGAGATGAAGGTGGGAGGATTAAGTGATCTACTGATAATAATCAAGTTGATTATCTCAGGATGATCAAGACAATAAGATTAACTCACTAATTTGATTGTAAAAAGTTAATATAATATTAATGATAATCAGATAGGATAATAAAATTACCCAACAATTAAGCGGTAGAAATTGATTAAAACTTAATTTAGTTCGTCAGCCTAGTTAATCATGTAAGAGAAAAGTTCATCAACAATTGGAAACAATTAACTTTTATTCAGGTAAACAATTAAAGGTAATCCAATGTACAGAGTCTTGAGAAATTAATTTCAATTAGCCAATTTAGTTAACCAATTGATTTAAAGTAAATCAACTTATTCATTTGTAAATTGATAATTTGAAGCATAAAAAGTTTATTAAAAAGTTAACTCAAAAAAGCAACAATTTAGCAAGTAATCAATTTGATCCTTAATTTGATTGTTGAGTAAATATTTATACTACTTGAGTGTTAAATACAGAGTTGAACACTTTAAGCTAATCAAATTGTAATTTGATTGTGTGAATTTGAAAAGCATAACAATCAAGAGATAATCAATTATAAAAGTTTTAAAAATAGTAATCAAATTAAATCCAATTGCTGTGCAGGAAAAAAAAAATACAAAACAAAATTGAAACAAATTAAAACCTAAAAGTAAATTGCTTCTGAACTGTTAACCAGACAATCTAAATCAATATTAGATTAACAACAATTAACAGCTAATCAACTATAAATTAAAGAAAAATGGTTAATCGTATTGATTGAGATGCGTTTTAGTTAATATTTGATTAACCATTACAAACATAAGATTAACTGAAAAGTGTTACAATTGATTTTAAGGTGTGAATACTATTTGTTTATCATCATCATCATCATCATCATCATCTTTATCATCATTGGGAGTGAATATAAACATAGGAGTGAGATGATATCATCTTATGATGATAATGATGAAGATGAGCAGATGAGTTTTCTTGATTAGATGAAATCAAATGTGATTTTCAAATGAAAGTTTTGATGATTACATTTGAAATGATAATGACAATGATGAAAGGTAGGGATGAATGTGATAATGATAATAATCATCATCCTCATCATTTTTTCATCATCCATAATAATAATGATGATGATGATGATGATGATATTAATATCATTAACTATCATGAAATGATAATGATAATGAATAAAAAAAAGTTGAGCAGAGGAAAAAAATAATATCAATGTAATAATAACATTGATACCTTAGGGTATAAGTAAATAATAAGGTTTGATAAAGTGACAATTAATGGTGAGGATGAAAGGGAGGCAATTAACAATTTGATTATTTCAATATAACAATTAAGGTTAGAGTGAGAAAATTAAATTACAATTGTAATCAAGTGATAAATGATAATTACTTGCATCTGATTTTCTGTGAGTGTGAGGATGAGTTTCTGTTCAATTTAAATTGATTGATTCTTGAATTGGTTACATGTAATTCCTGAGGAAATTCAATTGATTAGTTAATTACATATTCGTGGATAGGAAAAAAATTACACAATTAAATTAAGGGTAAAGTATCACTTAGGACAAAGATAAATAGAGAGAGAGAGAGAGAAATACAAATAGACAAAGCAGATGGAGTCGAGTTAGAATAAAGTTGAAAAGTTGACAGTAATTACATGATAAATGTTATCAACGGTTAATTGTAATTACAATTGTAAAGTTAATTGTTATTATATCTTTAAATTTTTGTGTGTAAGTTTAAACAAAAACAAAGAGTGAAAGTACAAGAAAAACAATCGAGTTAAAATGGTTAACAATAATTAAATATATGTCTCCCTCTTTGATATTATTATAATGAAAAGATTATCCATTTAACTTGTGAACGCATCTTCATCTTCATCTTCATCCTTATCACCATCACCATCATCATCCTCATCATTGTCATTGTCTTCCTTTATTATATATATTTATGTTGATTCATTTTCACAGCCTATGAGTGTTAACCACCATGTTTACTGTGTCTCCGTAGGTGCCTCATCCTTAACCTTGTCACCTTTCCGATTGCCCCTACATCACAATCCACCTTGATGATGATCCTCATCATCTTGGATATACCCTGTAGTCATTATGTTAACAAGGAGAGAGGCAGAGAGATAGAAATAGAAACAGACAGATAGACAGAGGAGGAAAGAAAAAATTACAATTTAGAAGAGAAAAAAATATTATTTCTTTAGGGCAAAGAAGCTTATTAAATATGAATATGAAGTGAGAGAACTGAAATGAAATAACATTTAAGGTAAGGCGATAATAAGTTGACGTTCATCCGGTCGTTGATAGTGTTGTTGTCAACACGTTCTCACAGGTAAGTTTGTTTTGTGTAGAGAAAAACATTTCAACATGTTAACCACCCCACTAACAAGGATATGATTCAGTGTTAATGATACAAGAAGATGAGAAACTGGAAGAGATAGAGAAGAAGAAGAAAAAAATTAATATTAATTGTAAAAAGTAAATTATAATAATATCCAAGGACTTAAAACACACGGAGAGTCAAGGTGGAGGCGGGAAAATGGGAGGAGGGTGATAAGGAGTATTAACAACATAATACCTTTTACATTTGTAATACAATTATAATAATTATCATCATCATTAATTGTACAGATTAGTTTGTCACTCTAGATGTTAATGATTAATATAATTATAATGTAAAGGGTTGAGCTAAAGCAAAAAAAATAATGATAACATTTGAAAATCTTAATGATTTAAAAGTAAAACAAACATTCAAAGAGTTTATCATTCATGTTGATTATAATCATCATGTAATGATGATGATGACAATCAAATGATCCATTATCATTATAAATATAGTCTAGTTAAACTTGATGAATTTAGATTATGTTTTCATGATTGTTGATAATTTACACTTTGAAAGCCAACAATTAATGCACGAAATCAACATAGCATTCACTTTATCAATCAGCTTATTTTCCAGTAATTAACTAAATCCATTTTCCTTAGCGCTCTCATTGTCTTCTCATTTCACCAACACCACCAAAGTTAATTAATCTAAAAAATAATAGAAAATGAATGAAAAAGATTAAAAATCGCCATGGAATCAATTCCATAAGAAGATATTTGAAACAACAGAGAAAGAGAGAGAGAGAGAGAAACTTTATATCAACATTGACGATTATCATGGTAGTTAAATGCCCACGGTCAACAATTTCATCATCATCACTTTCACCTTTATCTTCATCATCAATTTCATCTTCACATTCACCTTTCCCTCTTTAGATAACCTTTGTAATATTAACATTGAAAAACAACAAAATGAAAAACGCTATCAAGCAATAAGATTGTTGTACCTGTAATTACAAGTTACCTGAACACTACAAATGGTAATGATTTAGTTTCATCATGCTACATAATACATGATAGCCTCTCTCTCTCTCTCTCTCTACTCACTCACTCTCACTACAATGTATTAGCAATAATTTTTTGTTCAATTTCAAAAAATTATAAAAGCGGTCCCACTTAATCTCATCCCTCTTGATTCTCACTCTCAAAGTAATAAGGAGGGAAAAGGTAAGTGAGATGATGTTGATTATTATCATAATGATGATGATCAAGGTAAAGATAATGATAAATAATGGTGATGGTGATGAAAAAAGGTAAAATTTTAAATAGTCAATTCTTAATACCTGAGAGAGAGAGAGAGAGAGATATTAACCGCCCTTTTCGTATGTATAAGGGAATATAATATTTACACTCTTTGGTGTAAATATATTCAAGTTAAGGTGATGAGAAGCCGGTTACATGGGTGATGTTTCATGCTTCTGAGTGTTATCTCAAAACGATTAACCAACCTTGCTTTTCACTTAATCTTTTTCCCTCTCATCAATATGTAATATTAACGTGCTTGAACATCTAGGAGTAACTAACTAATTCATAAATCATTAGACGATAATTTGACTCTGCATGGAAATTAATGTTTCCAAGTTAATCATCGAGGAGATTTGGTTATTCAAATTATGGAAAAAAACAATTTGAATAAGTTTGAATACCCTAGAGAGAAATCAATAATAGATAGTTGATAAAATGAGAAGAATAACAAAAATTGAATCAGAGATGGAATCATCATGGAAATTTGTTATCGTAAGTATCCTGATTGTTACAGTTAAGATTGATTCTGAGTCCATGGTGAGCCTGTAAATTGATTTGGTAGAGAGATGGGGAAAAAAGTGATGATATTAATTCACTTGACACGATAGATTAGAAAAGAAAATCACATACTTACAATAACAATCAAAGTGTTACCTCTTTTTAACTCTTGCACAATTCAAATGTATAATTATCATCATTATCGTCATCAGGAATCAGTATCAACATGATCATCATTTTGCCTTCTCGATTGCTTACCATCTCTCGCTGATTGATAATCTATAATGATAGGTTATGGAAACACAATTTATATAATGTGTGATCAGATAAACATTTCACAACTCCTTCTTTGAGAACATCTTATTATCAGCTTGTTCTCTCTCTCTCTCTCTCTCTCCGATTCTGCCAACACCATTGTTATTGTCTAATATCAGAACTTTGAGTATTTTTGTAGAAGAAGAGGAAAAAATGGAAGCTCAGCTATAAGACTTGCCCATGTTTCTCATGCTGTTTTTTTCATCCTCATCTTCATCCAACAACCTTTGATCATCCACTTTCTTTTGCTTTACTAGATCTCAATTGAGGGGATTACACCATTATAACACCATCCTTATCATGGATTATCATTATCCTTGTAATCAACACCAATAATATCCTTAAAATGGCAACAAAAGAAAGTAATAAATAGGTTTAGATGTATGTTAACAATCTAGTTACTTATTATTACAAAAATCTAAAGGGAGAAGAAAGGAAAAAAAGTGAGAATTGATGTAACAAAAAAAAATATAAAGAAATACTAACAAGTTGTTGAGGAAAATGTATCTTACCATTTAATAAAGTTGATTTTTCAACTGGAATCATCATTAAATGGGATACCTTGAAGCCTTTAATTTAGTTGAATAGACAATCCTCCTTGTTTACAATTGGAAATTGTTTTCAAGGGAAAACTCAATAGCAACAAAAACAATAACAAGATCATCATCAGCCTTGTATCACTATTTTTTATCATCAGCATCATTTAAACTGTAGAAATCCAAATTTTACACATCAGGCCCATAGTTTAATCAGATCCTCATCGATAAATCAACATACAAATTTTTCAAAAAATTCAAACTAGTCACCAAATCAAAGATTATATATTAAATATTTTTGTCTCATTCTTCGTTTTTCTTCAGCAAACAAATAATGGATATGAATTCAAATCAATATTGTGATGAATGTGAAAATTCTTCTGTTTCAAAATTCAAAATTTAGAATTTATTTGTGATAATTGTGTTGTTAATTCACAAAAATATTCTAAATCTAATAAATTGCCTGATGTTACGATTCTTAATTCCAAAAGGTGTTTCCTTTTCAAAGTTTGTAGAAACTTTTCTCGTTGGAAATGTTCCAAAGAAGTCAGTACTAATAAAACCTCCGCTTCTGATCCACTCAGAAACGGTTGTGTGGGAAAAATTATTATCTATTTTGTAATGGTACCAAAATGAACAACAATAAATAAATAATTCAAACACAAACTCTCAACGTACTAACTCTGAGTACCATTGTCACACCATCAACACCAATTAAAAGTGTACAATTATGATAATATTTGATTAGAAATGTTGACCTGTATTTTTTGTGCATCAACTTGACCTTTATAAGGCCAGAGATCGACCATGTAAATTATCAATAAACTTCCCTTTGACCTCTCAACCACCGCCCTCTAGTGTCCAACAATTGTCATCAAACTTGTAAAAGTAGGTTAACAATTGGGCCTTTCCTTTCTTCCTCCTCTTGACTGTCACGCCCTCTATCGACCGTAACAATTTTATTAATTTAGAGAAAATTATTCAAATGAATGCTGTCGAATGGTCAAGTGATTTTTGTTACTAAGCAACACATCACATGACCATTCTGTTTCCTGTTTACTTCTTGCTTGTTTACTTTTTTCCTGTAACCTTGCAGTTAATGTCATTGTGATTGTTTTTCTTCATAGTTTTCATCATTGAATTTTAAAGTTATCTGATTGACTCAATTAGATTGTTATAACAATATATTTAGCTCGTGATCCCCTTCATGGAGGACAAGGACACTATTGCCGTCATCCCAGACAGTTCATTGAACTTTCTAGAATGTTCTAGAACGTTCTCTGATCTCCACCCCCCATTTCCGTTTTCGATTATGGCTCAGAAACGGAGGTTTTCATACTACTGCAATCTTCTTGGATCTTTTTACTGATTGTCACATAGGTAATTGTTGGACGAACGTCCAAACTATTTGTGTAAACCTTTGCTAGTTTTTTTTGCAAAAAGTTCCATTTTATGTTCAAATTATAATAATATTCTTGTTTAATATGCTATGGAACAAGCCACAGCCAATTCTCTCTTACAGCTACTTTAGTTCATTTTCGTGATCCATTTTGAATGTTTTTCGCGATTCCTGGATTGGTGAAAAAACCAAAATAAAATATTGGACAAGATAAAAGATCTAAGGGGGTTCATTTCAATCAATCCTGATCGCTTGAAACTTGGGATAAATATTTTATTCAGAGATCAAAAATTCTATCATGCTGGTGAATCCAGCATGAATCCAAACTGAACATGTTGGACTTAAGAGTCCGTGACAACGTTGACATCTCCGAAGTTTGTGTGGAAGAATGTCAGGATATATCCCGCTGGCAACAAGCTCAACATTTGGTTCTGGTCGAATTCCTCAACACCATTCGTGAGGAAATGGTAAAGCGTGCTCAATTCGCCGTCGAAAATAATCGAGAGGAATTTTCATCTTTGAAAGAATTGATCGTTACCGATCTGTTGAAACAGGTGCAATGATAATCTCTTGAAAGAGTTAAACCGATTTGCCGGTCACCCAAATATTTGAAAATTAATTCCAAATGCATTTGAAAAACTTTAATTAAATTCTTTTTTTCAAACTAAAATTATTCACAAAAGTGTGTAATTGAAACGTATTCTTACATCATTAAAAACCATAAGATGTTTAAGTTTTATATGCTTTTCAAAAAGATTACTCATTTTCCCAAAATAAGAAGCAGAACATTTCACTTTAATTGTGACAAGAAAGAACAAAAAAAAATTCAAACTAAATGGGTAAAAATAAAAAAAATTTCACCCAAATCGGGTAAAAATTGTTCCCACCGGAAGTGGATGATGCACACGAAAGATACTTCCACCCACCGGAAGTATCTCTCCCACCCACTTTGTTCAGTTTCTCCCACTTCCGGGAGATAAATCAGGATCCGGGTGCAGCATCCGTATTCTTCACTACTGTATTTTACCAATTGATTCGGTGACATCATATACAAAAGATTGGATAATAATGGATCATGTTTCTTTCAAAAGAGGAATCAGATCATGGAAAAATTATAAAGGCTCAGGAAGCTTTTCTCATTCAATGTAATTGATAATTCTAGAGAAATTCGGATTAATGTATTTAGAAAAGAGTGCAAATATTATGATTTCATAAAAGTGAATGATGTTTATACCATTCAGAATGCAACTATTCGACGAAACAAGACTACAATGGAACAAATCATCCGTTTCAAATCAATATACATGAAGATTCATTTATCCGTGTTTCTTATCAATTATCACTTTTATACAAATGAAAGAAATGAAATTTATCAAAATAAGTGAAATTGATACAATTACCGTAGGAGAAAATGTTAATTTGCAGGTAATTATTGTCAGCCTTATATTGGTCACATTTACGCCCTTTGTCTTAAGATGACCAATGGTAGTTCTTTGTGAGTTTAACTCCATCTCATACTCTACGAGAACTCCTTAAACCAATATAAACATTGTATCAATATTCCCAAGGGCAGTATGATCTTGACTATAATCCGGTCAATATGTACTCAGTTGAACTGATAATCTTAATCCCTTTAAAATAAAGCTAAAATCCCAAGTTTATCTTTAAGTCTCTTTATCTTATAACATTATTACAGAATTAAGCGCAATTATGGATAAAAAAGTTAAAAATTCATCAAAGCAAATCAAGTTAAGAAATTTGAATGTCATTGATGATTCAGAAAAAACGATTCTTTTGACTCTTTGGAATAATTTTACTATATGATTACGATTAGTCTAAAAAATCGCGTATTGGATCATAGAAACTGAGCCGACGGCACCACGTGCATCTGAATTGAGGCGTTGGTACCAAAATACAAATGGATTCATTCACATCCCGAATTTATCATGAGAAATATAAAAGAGAAGGAATTAATGCAATTTGATTCTGCAATTACAAAAAGCAAGGTTTTATCTCTCAAAACAGCATTTGTATGCGACACTAAAGCAACGGTAACTGGAATAGCTCGAGTTCATCATTTTTGGGCTTTCAATTTCAGAAATCACAATCTAGAAAGAGAAGAAAAAAATTAATTAGTTTTAACTGAAAAAGAGTAGATAATAAGACTTTTATTCCGGTATTACATAGGCAACGGTTAATTGATTACCTTTGTAATTGGATAGGTTTTCATTTGGTTGATAATTGAAAAGTTAGCAAATGGAAAGTTTTTCTGTTCAAAATGAAACTGAATTAAAATGAATGATTTAGTTAATTGTTGTTAAGTTTAACAATACAGATAATTAACAATACAGAGGGTAAAAAGTGAAGGCGTTTTCTTGGTGTTACCTGTGATTTTTTGGCCTTTTTTTGTTAATAGTAACACATTAAGGTGTGGGGGCTCATTGGGTAAGTGTTTTGTTTTTAGTTTACACGATTTAAGGTAAACAATTAACGTTTAATCAAAGTTAATTGTTGAATTTACAAGAGAAACAATTTATATAATATATAAATCAACTTGTTAACTTGCTTTTTGTTTCTAAGCTCAAATCAAAGTTCGTGAAAATAATATACTAACTATCGTATCTATTGCATGATTGTTGTTGATGATGAAGATGAAGATGATGATGATTAGGATAATTATGATGATGGAAACAATTTTGATTAAGGTTTCAAGAAGATAATCTTGATTGTTGTTAACCAACACCTTCATTTACACTTTAAACAATTAACTTTTCATTTTTCCAAGTTAATTAAGACTACGAAAGATTAGATTGATTAGATTTATGTATTAACGATTAAATCTTAATATTAATAAAAGTGTATTAACTGATTGTTGATTACAATTAAAGAGAATACAAAAGTTAATTGTTATTCTTGTAATCAAATCAATTTGTGTCCTAATTTTGGTTTAAATATAATTTAAAGCAATTTAAAAGTTAATTTGATTGGAAATGTTTGTTCAAATAACCAAATGATAAAGTAATCAAAAAGGTTAATTAGTTTAATCACTTTTGTCTGTATTATATTGTAATCATTAAGGTGTGTAAATGTGATTAAATTGTTACAAATTATATCATCTGAATGTGTCTCATCAACAACAACAATTAATTGATTGTGTACTTTTCTTACATACAATTAGTGAGTAAAATAAATTGCAAACAATAAATAACAATATAATTAACACCATTAAAACAATTATTTTAACAATCAGTTGATTGTTAACCAGCAGGAAAACAAAACACAATTACTTTCAATTGTTTTTGTTTAATTGTTGACAACCAAATCAACAAGGTGAAGACATAATAACAATTATAATAGAGAGACAAACAAGAAAAGTTAATCATCAGAGTCTTTAATCATAATAGTTAACTAATTGTTCATTCAATTCAAGTTTTCATCTTAATCATCATTTCTGTTTCCTCTTTATGGTGAAAACTGTTTCCTGTTTAAAATTTTTCATCCATAATACAATAATAATACAATTGTAGATGAAAGATAATTATGAAAAATGGTTCATTAAATTGCTAATATTTATACAATCAAGTAAATTGTTACCATTACAATTAAACTTTAATCAATTGGTTTGAAAAATTAGTCTCCTGTCAGTTTAAATACAAAATATAAGTTAAATTATTTTCACTTGATTACAATGTAAATGTCAACTTAAAGTTGATTAATTAACTCGTAGGTTAATTAAACCAATTGTAAGCATAACAATTAAATAATTACCACTCGTAAATACAAATTTAGGCAAGAAAAAAATTTGTTAATTGTAAAAACAAAAAGTAAAACAATTCAAATCAATTGCAAAGTGAAACAAA